ACCTGTCCAGTAGGGGTAATATACCACCCTTTTACATTTTTCTTTGCTTCCATCATTTGGGCTAATTTTTCATCCTCTGGTGCATAATGGGGTTTCTCTTCCATGTGCGCTGCTGCTGGGTTATCACGGGTTGGCAGCAAAGCCATTTGAGTCCATGTCTCTGTGGCTGCTCGTCGTGCTGCTTGATCTGCCAGTCTATTTCCTTGAGACTCGGGTTCCGAATTGGTCTGATGTCCTTTTACATGCATTATTGCCACGGCTGATGGTCGATGTATGGCCTCCAGGAGCTGCAGTACTTCTTCTCGGTGCTTTATGGCTGAGCCTTGGGAAGTAAGTAATCCTCTCTCCTTCCACAATGCTCCGTGTACATGGACTACTCCAAAGGCATATTTAGAGTCAGTCCATATGTTCACCCTTCTTCCTTGACTCAGAATCAGGGCTCTTACCAGGGCCCAGATTTCAGCCTTTTGTGCAGATGTTCCTGGGGGTAGTGCTTTTGCTTCTATGATTTCCTGTAAGGTAACCACTGCATACCCCGCATACCTGGTTCCGTTCTCCACAAAGCTTGATCCATCTGTGAACAATTCCCAATCTGGGTTCTCCAGCGGTTCGTCCTTCAGATCCTTCCGACTTGCATAGACATGCTCAATAGTCTCCATGCAGTCATGTTCCAGGATTCCCTCTTCCCGTGTGGACCTGAGAAACTCAGCTGGATTGAGATGGTTAGTGACTTTTAATTCAATGTCATCTTGTTCTCTGAGCAAGGCCTGATATTGCAGCATTCTGCTAGAGGAGAGCCAATGCCCCCCTTTCTGTTCCAGGACTGCAATAACCATATGTGGTACGTAAACTGTGATATGCCTTCCCAGTGTCAGTTTACGTGCTTCCTGAATTAGTATTACTGTTGCAGCCACCGCCCTAAGGCACCCAGGCCATCCCCCACTTACAGTGTCCAATTGTTTTGAGAAGTACCCGACAGGCCTCTTCCAAGATCCCAGTCGTTGAGTGAGTACTCCCAAAGCCAACCGTTGTCTTTCACAGACATATAGTTGGAAATCTTTAGTTAAGTCGGGCAGTCCCAGGGCAGGTGCTTCCCGTAAGGCTTTCTTCAGTTGGTGGAATGCCTTTTCCTGTGCTGGTTTCCAGGTTAACTGCGGCTCCTTTACTGCTTCGTACAGTGGTCTAGCAAGGAGTCCGAAGTCAGGAATCCATAGTCGACACCAGCCGATCATTCCTAGAAAAGACCTTAACTCCTGATTATTCCGTGGAACTGGAATAGCACAGATAGCTTGTACTCTGTTTGCCCCTAGCCGCCGGACGCCTTGAGAAATCTCACAACCTAAGTAGATAACTTTCTGTTTAACTAGTTGGGCCTTTTCCTTCGAGACCCGATAGCCTGCTTGACCTAACATGTTTAACAGTTCAATGGTCAGCTTACAACACGTCTGTTGTTCTTCAGTGCCCAGAAGAATGTCATCTACATACTGCAGAACTATGTAAGAGAAAGGAGAGTCTTTTACCTGAGTTGTCTTCCACTGCTCGAGTTCTTTCGCTAGTTGATTACCAAATATTGTAGGCGAGGATTTGAATCCTTGTGGCAGCCGCGTCCAAGTGAGTTGCCTTTTTCTTCCGGTGTCAGGGTCCTCCCATTCAAAAGCAAAGAGGTGCCAACTTTCCGGTGCCAATCGGATGCAGAAGAATGCATCTTTCAAATCTATTACTGAAAACCACTGGAATTTCTCAGAAACAGATGTTAACAAGGTATATGGATTTGCTACCACTGGGTGAATGTCCTTGGTTAAAAGATTGACTGCCCTTAAGTCCTGCACCAACCTATATTTTCCATTTGGTTTCTTGACTGGAAAAATTGGTGTATTAAATTCTGATTCACACTCTTCTAATATTCCAAGAGTCACAAACTGTTTGATTAGAGGTGCTACCCCTTTTCTTGCTTCTAAACTAATCGGGTATTGCCTTACTCGTACTGGCTGTGCTCCCTCCTTGAGTTCTATTACTACTGGGGTTGCTGCTTTAGATAAACCTGGGATCCCAGCCTCCCATACCCAAGGGACGACTGCATGCTCTATCTCTTGAGGAATTGCTTCTGTTTCTATTTCATTTACAGCGAATATCTGTGCTACATTTTCTTCCGGGATTTCTAATTTGACTCTACCCTTTTCAAACACAATTGTAGCTTGTAAGGAGGACAACAAATCTCTCCCCAGTAAACATTCTGGACTATTAGGCATGTAAAGAAATTGATGATCCAATTGCTTTCCTCTAAATTTAATATCCAGTGGCCTCAAGAATGCCCTTTCCTCTGTTTGACCCGAGACACCCACAACACGAATAGTTGAATTACTTAGAGGACCCATTAATCTATTCATTGCTGAAAAACTGGCTCCTGTATCTACACGGAATTCCATAGGTTCTCCTTCTATTTCCAGGACAACCTTTAAATCCCGATCTAGTCAGCTTTGATTTTGGTAATTCTGTAACATAAATGCTTGAGCGACACCTTGTGGCGTCCCAGTATTCGCACCCTGCATATTCCCGACAAACGGATTTATTCCTATTCCTGTATTCATAGGACATTCATTTTTCCAGTGTCCTGGATTCTTGCACAATGCACACTGATTCAATCCTAACTTTCCGCGTCCACCCTGGGGTCCGAATCGTCCTTGACTACCGAAACCTCTGCTAATTCCCCTTCCCCTGTTTCCACGACCTTTTCCCCTGTAATTATAGTTTCCTCCTGCTGCCTGTAAAATTGCCAACATACTCGCTTGTTGCTTCTTTGTATTCTCCTTCTCTCTATTATTATACACTTTCCAAGCTACTTCTAACAATTTCTCTAAATTCCGCGTTTCCTCTCCTTCTAATTTTTGCAACTTCTTCCTAATATCTTCCTGTGACTGTCCCATAAAGATCAGGGCCAATTGTAACTTCCCTGATTCTGCTTCCACATCTAAATCTGTGTATTTTCGAGCCGTCTCTTTTAATCTTTCCAGGAAGGCAGAGGGGGATTCTCCCTTATCCTGCCGTACTGAATACAACTTAGACCAGTTTAAAGTTTTTGGAATTCCACTTCGTATCCCTTCTACTAATAATTCCTGATAAACTTTCAACCTATGATAATCTCCTGCTGCGTTCGGATTCCACTCCGGGTCTTCTCGTGGTACCAAATCATTTACTGTCCCTTGTCCTGGCTGAGTGCGAATCCTTTCCCTGGCTCTTTCAAGCATTACCCGCAATACCATCTCCTTTTCCGTAGAATCTAAAATCGTATCCAACAAAACTTGCAAGTCATTCCAATCTGGATTCTGAGTCTTTATAACCATCTTAACGACACGCGCTACACGCTCCGGATTTTCCCTATACGTCCCTGCCGACTGTTTCCATATCAACAGATCATTCGGTGAAAAGGGAACCTTAACCATGACACGCGCCCCACCTGCTCCGACCGCTTCACGCAAAGGAGCCATCAACCTTGGAGGTGAGGGAGAGACAGTTCTCCCTTCTCCTTCATACTTTCGTTCCCGACTTCGCCCACGCTCTCTCCTGCCTCTCCGTGTTCGCTCAGCTAATGGGGTCCTATCTAAACGCCTTCCTCCTTCCTCATCCGAGGATGATTCCAACGGAGGTACAGGTGACCCCTCTGACCTACGGGAAGGAGCCGCGCTCATCGGGGGTGCGGTAGGAGTAAGGCTCGGGGATACCAACAAAGAAACATCTTCCTCCGATTCGGGAAACCGTACCTTCCGTTCCTTACAACCCACACATTCATCATTCGATTCTTTTAACACCAACATTCCACATTCCTCTTGCCACTTAGGTTTACGCTTCAAATAATAAAACAAGTCCAAATATGGTATTTCTTCCCACTTATCATTATCCTTCAAATACTGCATTAGAGGTGTCATTATTTCCACAGTTACAGTACCGTTTCTCGGCCACTGCATTCCCTCAGTATCATATTGAGGCCACACATTATTACAATAATCAATCAGTTGTGTCTTACTTAATTCTTGTCCAAAATTCCCTTCTTTCCAATGCTTTATTATACACCCAAGCGGAGAATCATCAGGGATAGCAGTTTCAGAACAAGACAACGCTCTAAAGGTTTTAAAAGGCATCATACCCACTGCAACACAGCACTCACACAGACAACAAATACCACAGCGATTACGTAATCTGTTTCCACAATTATCTTGCCGTTTTTCACTAGTCACGGCAAGTGCTGACTTCAGCGCAGCTTTCACCGCGTCTTACGAGCAGCGCCTAGGCTTCCCCCAAAAATACCTCTCTCAGCTCAACCCAGCGAGTATACACAGTCTCGTCTTATAGGCAAGCTTTTACCACTAGTGAAAATAAAGCACCTACGGGCTTACCTCGGGCGGTTGTCCGTCAGGCGCGGGGTCGGGCACGGGTCGATATCTCCTCCAGGAATCACCTGGTGCTGGCACGGAGTGGATCAGCTCGTGGGCCGCCCCAGCAACCCACGGAGTCCTGCCGCGGTCGCCAGAAAACTGTTGCCCGAAACAGGAACACAAACCAACAGAGTGTCAGTTTATGCGGTGCTTTATTCAGGGCCCGGGAAACCTGAGGACTAGCGTCCCAAGTCAGGATTCCAAAGACCCTCATGTCGACTATATCTTTTATACCTTTAACAAACAAAGCTCCATGATTGGCTCACACATCAAAGCAAATATACCAGTTATACATAAACTTACATATATCATCCTGAATACAATCAACTGTTACCTCTCCCCTCTAACATATTGTGTAACTAACTCCCACCACCAGACTAAATCCTATTTCTAATTACAAATCATCTTGTACCGGTTCTGCATGCTTGACTTAATCCTTTTAGTATTGTTTCTTCGGATCAGCACATTCCTGACTCATAAGTCCCAGGTGCTCCTGGCACAGTCTCTTTCAGGCCTACCCTGCAAAGCAAACCTCTGACCAAACTACTACTAGTGCTGTAGTCACTGCAACAAGAAGAAAGACCTTTTCAAAAAGAATGCAGACAGCCAGAAGTGGACAAGTACAAAGAGCTGTACCTGCAGGAAGTGAAAACCAGGAAAAGCCTCGCAAAGAAGCTGGAAAGGTAAGTCCATGGTTTTTTTGGAGTGGTAATCACAGACTCCTTTTTCCTTGTGCATTTTCCTTCTAAAATCCCTTTTCCACATCTGGCCAGCACGATGTGTGAAAGCATAACCTGGTATATTTGTGGGGAAAGTACCTCAAGACCCTTCCCTTCACCAGACCTGTCTTCCCTTCTCTAGAGAGTTCCAGCAGTAACACCACAGTAGCACCATTACAGCATGAGTGGTGTCTTTTTCCAGCTGATGTTGATTTAACTGACAGTGTTTTTGCCAATCTCTAATCTCCTCCTCCTGTGTGACAGAAAAGATGAATCTTGTGGCCTTTCCTGTTTGAATAAGGAGAGGCATCTCAGAGAGTGGAGTTGGATTCTGTGAATCAAAAATAAGAATGATCTTTCTGTTTTAGCAGTGGCTCTGAGGTTTGAGCTTTCCCCGGTCAGGGCCACTCCCGGGCAGGTGGGGCTCATTAGCCCTTAAAAGGCAACCCACCTACGTCCTAAGGACCTCGCTGCCACCGTCCAAGCTCGCTTGGCCCCGGCAGATGAACCTTAGGATTAAAGGGTGGGCTCAGTTCCGCGCACACTGTGTCTCACCTAAAAAATCCAATGCGCAGGCTGGAAGGTGGAAAGACCTTCCCCAGATCTTCGCTCGCGAAGACTGGCCATTATTATTATTATTATGAAGGCCAGCAGGGTAGCCCAGAGTTCTTATGGAGGTGACACTTGCTGCTCCTTGCACTTGGTGTGATTTCTTGGAAACAGGCCCTCTGCACAAGCTCAGATCAAAGGATGTGCTTGTTTTGGATGCTCTTCATCCCCTTGGCATTTAGAAGTCGAGGAATAGTCAAGGACATGGAGGGGAACTTTGCCAAAGCGTTACTGCCCAAGGTGACTCTTTGTGTGCCTCTGAATGTTTCAGAGCCAAGGAGAGACTTGAAGAGGCCAACGCGAAGCTCCTTTGGGAGCGCCAGAGAAGCAAATCTGCAGCCACAATCAGCGATGTCAGGAGACATCTGGCTGCAATTCCACCTCTGGATTCAGCTGGCCTGGGACACCTTGGGAACCGTCTGGGACTGGGCAGAACTCCCGGCCTCAGAACACACCCCAGCCACGTGTGGTAAAGCCGACGACTTTTGGTCAGCAGGTTGGTACAAATTTTCCAGTGTGGGAAAGGACAGAAAATGTTGAAATGGAAGCACTGAGCTGTGTAACTCCATTCTTTTACAGAGCAACTGTGGCAAAGAGCACTGTGAGGCAGGAACTTCCCACCTAAGTTCCACACTAATTTACATGTCCGGTCTGTGTGACCTGTTTCAAATGGCTGATGTCACCATGAGTGCCAATGCCATCAGACATCTGTGAGACACCGAGGAGGAGCCAGCCACGTCCCAAAGTCCAGCGCTGCCCCAGTGGTGGCAGGCCTGGCCCAGCCATCCCAGGGAGCAGCACCCAGGCCAGGCCGGCACCGCCACAACCACAACCACTGCCTGTGCCCTGCCTGCTCTTCCCTGGCAGGAGCCCTTGGTGCCAGTGGGACAGGCAGGAGCTTTCCTGCTGCCCACTCAGCCCCTTGGCCACGGATCTCCTTCTGCCACAGCCACTTGCGGCCTGGAGCGATGGCAACGACCCTGCCTGTTCAGGAGGGTGCTCAGGGCTGTGCCAGGCTGTTCCTTGGCACCTGTGTCCCATGAGGGCAGGAGCAACAGTGCCAGGCTGCCAGCACCAGGCAGCTGCCTGCAGGTGACCGTGTGAGCCTCGGCAGCGTCCGGCTGAGAGCGCGGCACAGGGAGGCACCGCAGCCACGGCTGCAGGGACAGCACCTCGGGCATTTGGCTGCCCCAAGCACACACTGCCAGCCTGGGCTCACCCAGTGATTCCTGTCACCAGCCTGGGATTGCCCAGAACACACCTTAGGGCTTGAGCTGGGTCACAGTTTCATCACAGTGTGCCAATAGATAGTAGGGTACAGATAGATTAGACAGATTATAAGATAGGTAGATAGACACATAGGTAGATAGATAGATAGATAGATATTAATAGAATATAATTTTCCTCAATAAAAGCTTCAATTTCACTGAGATTCCTGAGTGGTGTGCATATGAACAAAGGGATTCAAACACAAAATGCTGAGATGAAGTCCAGTTTTAATTTTGGAGGGCATTTTGATTATCTCTAAGCAGGTGACAGCAACTACAGGTGTAAGAGCTGTCTTTCCTCC